TCATTTGGCTGCTATGAATGGTAATTTGGAATATTTTTGATCACTAAATAAGATAGCGCTTGGATTTAATTCATTGACTGGACTAACTTTTCAGGACAGAAGGATGTTGCTGAGAAGCTCATCATGAAAGGAGCCGAAGTTGATATCAAAGATGCCCATAAGCGGACAGCTCTTCATTATGCTGCTGAGAATGGTAATGTTGCACATTTATTTTCACAAAACAAGAAATTGTTTGGATTTTGTTCATTGATCGATGTTCTTTTTCAGGTCACGCGAATGTCGTTGAATTTCTCATCACGAAAGGAGCCAATATTAATTCGGAAGATTACATTCATCAGACACCTCTTCATTTAGCTGCTGACAATGGTAATTTGGAATATTTTTGCTCACTAAATAAGAAAGCGCTTGGATCTAATTCATTGACTGGCCTAATATTTCAGGACACAAGAATGTTGCTGAGAAGCTTATCATGAAAGAAGCCAAAGTTTATGTTAAAGACTATTTAAATCGGACACCTCTCCATTATGCTGCTGTTAAGGGTAATGTTGTCTATTTATTTTCCTTTAGGAAATTTGTTTGATTTTTTTCATTGGTCGGTGTTATTTTTCAGGTCACAAGGATATCATTGATATGCTCATCACAAACGGAGCCTATATTAATTGTGAAGATCACAATAATCAGACACCTCTTCATTTAGCTGCTGAGGATGGTAATTTTTAATATTTTCACTTAATGAGAGAAAGACTTGATTAACATTGATCGATGTTATTTTTCAGATCACATGGAGGCTGTCGAATTGCTAATCACGAAAAAAGCTCAAGTTGATCCTATAGACTGTTTCAAGTGGACACCTCTTCATTATGCTGCAAGGAATGGTAGAATAAATATTTATTTTTGATGAGCAATTAATCTATTCTTTATTATTGGTCGTAAATATCCTCCAGGTAACTTACAGATCGCTCAACTCCTTGTGAACGATGGAGCCAGTGTTACTGTTGAAGACTTTTCTATTCAGACACCGTATCAAATAGCTGCTGCTCGTATCTCACGAAATGAAAGTAATGTTGAACAATTCTCATTGGAAAAAATGTCATTCAAATTTTATTGATTATTTTTTCCAGAATACAAGAAGGTTGCTGACTATCTTAAGGGGATTGAAGAGGAAAGGCACAACGGACATTAGTAAAATCAATTGAAAAATCCTATGTAGTCCTTTGAGTTCCGTATTCGATTGTCATTTAGAATATTAATTTCAGTACATTTTTGTCAAACTTTAACCACATCAATATTGCTGCTTTGTTGTACTTTCGGTTTTGACATTGTGTCAGAAAAAGCACCTCAAGTTTTATGTGTTTTAAATTACTAACGGTATAGATATTGAGTAGAATTTTTTTTTCTTGGATTTGTGCAACCCTAACAAATATCCATGCTAAATTTGGATGCGATATTTGTGAGTGATACGCAACAAGAAACCATTGGTGATGTTAGTTTTTGTGCTTAAATCAAATGAAAATTGCACAGTTCAACGAATCAATGCAGTTGAGGTATCACATTCAAATTGGATGTTAGTTAAGGTAGTGCCAATCCAGTGAAAGAATACTTTACTCGAAACCTAAGCCGCAAACGATCTGCATGAAAATGCCAAGCACTTTTTTTTTGACAGAATGTAAATATAGATTAAACGCAGTAAGTCATAGAGAAAAAAAATCAAAATTTCGATCAGGTTTGAAGTGACTCTTGTTCATTTTCGAGGGAAAAATTGTAATAAATAAAAACATTTTATTTTTGTGCTGATATTTTTTTCGCTTTTTGTTTCATCAACTTTCAAACATGAATACATATACGAATGCATACTCCTGTGGTTTAGTTGGTTTGAATGTGGCAAAAAGTCTGCATTTTGTTGACTACTAGATAAAATAAAATTTCTTTTGTAATGGATTGTATCAAAATAACGCAATATCCCCCGTCATAGTTCGTTCTCCAAAGATTTGCAATTGAAACCGTTTTTACATGAAAATGCGAAGTTCTTGTTTTGACAGAATGTAAATAGATTGAACGCAGTAAATAATAAAAATGAATCAAATTAATGATCAGATTTGAAGTGACTCTTGTTCACTTTCAACGGGAAAAAGTCGTAAAAAATGAAAATATTTTTAATCCAAACTGACCGCTTTTCGTTCTGTTTCATATAAAATAAAAAAAACTTCTTTCGAAGTAATTCCTCGTGACGAAAGCGAACATAAAACAGCTGATATCAATTTTAAAAAATCATTACGGTGCGATTCTGAAATTAGTTGGAAGAATGCAAAAAAAGCAAATCTAAATTGCTCCGAAATGATTTTTTAAAATTGATATCAGCTGTTTTATGTTCGCTTTCGTCACGAGGAATTACTTCGAAAGGAGTTTTTTTTTATTTGATATCAGTTGTTTTGTACCCGAAATTTTTTTTTTCAACAAAACCAACTAACACTTAACAAACACAAAGTGGTGTGTATTGAGCCAAAGAAACATGAAATGTTGTAGTTAAAAACCAGCATTGTCGCCTTTTTGAATAAAGCAAAATCAGCGCGTAGGTATTTAAAAAAAATGTTTCGTTAAATAAAATTTGGTTTTTGGACAGACAGATGAAATTACATTTTGTTTTGATGAAATTACATATCGCTTTTATACTAAGAAACTATCACGTCGAAAAACCCACGCAACAGTTTTCAGTTTCAATAAACTGCCAAGCAGTTTGAATCAGTTTTCCATTTCTCGGTGAACGATTTTGGGCGTCCGAAAAAGTGTTGTTTTAGAATACTCGGTGTGATGTATTAAACATATGTTTTTAGTGATAAGCTTCATTGAATAACCTCTAAAAGTGTTAAAACGCAATTCTTAATTTGTTGAGTGATTCCTCACAGGAAATCTATAAAATTTCCAACGTCGTAATAAGCGAAAGTCTAAAACGTTATACTTACAGCAATCGATTCAAATACAAGATTGACTTTTGTGTTATAAACAAATACTTACAAACAATTTTTTCAACCGTTCATTTTCCAAATCTCACGAAACTGTTTCAAAATTTAAATTTTTCCCAAAATTAGAATCATATTTTGGGTGGTTTTTAGCGTTAATGAATGACATTTACAAAGAATGACATAGCGTAAATAAAAAAAAAACTCATATTCATGAACAATGAGATTATTTTATTGAATTGTATTTTTCATCCACTTCATTTATTGGCCCATCAAAATGCTTAAAGTGTCTATTCATTGATTCATAATCGTTTGACTTAATCGTTTGTAAACTTAATCGTTGTAAAATTGAAAGAATAGTCAATTATTGTAATGGTTAATTAAAATCGAAAACTTGATCGTTTCTTTAAATGAAAAATAAAACGTTTGTTGACTTTCAAAAAGTATTTTTTCTTAGATTTACTTAAAAATTTTAGAAGTTTCTTTCATTCAGTTGACATTTCAATGCTTCTCTCAAAAATGCATCTCTCATAGTCGATTGAAGCACAAACGAGATATAAGGCCCGTATTACAATAAGGATATTGATTTTTCATCTTCACAGTAATTCCTCCAGTTAATGTGAAATTTTCATTCGAAGAATAATAATAGTAGTAGTCCGAACTATTGTTTTGTCCGAATCCGAATCCGTTTACTACTTCCCATGAGATTTCGTACGTTTTATCAGGATTGATTAAAATTGGTCGCTGTAGCTCCAAACATGACGGATTCTCCTTGTTGTAATTGTGATCATTTCTACAGATGATTCGTTTCGAGATTTCATTCTTTTCGGCAATGTTTATTTTCAAATATACACATATTTGTGATCTTGGACCATCTTTTATCTTGTGAAGGCGCTGAAAATGAATTTTGCCGAGCAAAACTGGATAATCAACCGAAAAATGTGCAGATCTGCTTGAAACATAAGTATAGACCGTGGCTCTTGAACGAATTTGCTTGATTTAAATTTTTTAACTGTTGTTGCATACAAAATGTCCGCCAATTCCTCTGCTGTGAACATTTCTCTGTGTAATATAGAATGTGTTGCAAATTCTTCGGATTTCATTGCCCCAAATCGAATCAAGCTGAAACATTCGCCAAGTTGTGCTTTCAAATTTAGCGGATTGTTTTCATCGACGTTGTTCAGATTGCACGAGTATTTGGCCCATACCAAACAGGCATCAAGCACCTCAAATTCTCTACAGGCCATTGAATTCAGTAGTAGAATATGTTTCAGAACGATTTGATCGCAGCGTTGAAATGTGGCCGATTTAAAGATATCATCCGGGTATGCACTGATGTGCTTTTCACAGAACTGTTTCAGCGTTTCATTATCGAGCATTAACGCCAGTTGATAGCCCCAGCACATATTTTCCAAGGTAAGTTCATTCTCGAGCAGCACCGCAGATGCATTCACATGTTCAAGCACATCATACTTGTCAGCCAATCGAACCACACCTTCAATATTTTCCATCGCGATTGTTACGTTGTTCAAATAGAAAAATTGCAGAAATTCTTTGAACGTGTCAATGGTTGCGTCAACGATTTTCACATCGCCTGTCTCTTTATTCGGACCGAAGAACATCGCATTGAAAACTGGACTCAATACGGCTAAGACAATTTTGTTCGCAGGCACTTTTTGAATTTCTTCATCAATTTCGAATAAGAAATTCACATCCGCAAATTCTTCGTTAAGGTAAAGTCTGGCACTGGCTTTAGAAGCACCATCATTCTTTAGAACATTTTCAATCTCTTCCATTTTTTTTCAAATGAATATTTCAGTTCTTCAGATATTTCACTCAATGCTAGGAAAAATAACTTTATTTAATTCGTTTCTTTATTAAAAGACTCTTTGTGTGAAGAAAAACACTCGTTTTTATCAACAACAAAAAACTTCAGAGCAGAAAAATATATTTTTTGGTTATTAATCTCTCTTTTTAATATTCGTAGGATATTTATCTTCAAAATCTAACTCTTGATTAAAAATCGTAATACTTCATTCAAAACAGCTCATCCATCTTCAATGGCACAATCTCAACTGAAAGTCATTCGCTGTTTTTTTCATTACACCACATTCAATTTGAGACTCTCAATGCGTGCGAGCAACGATTCAATGAATATGCTTCTCCGATGACATCAGGATGTACAAAATCAAAGAGAAAAAGAAAGAAATTTCACAAACCGCCTTCGTATGTCCATTGAAATGAACACTGAGCAAAGAGCAATGAGCACTATCGTCATGCTTTGTATATTCAATCGTTTCGTTTGAAATTTGCCTTTGCACGCACTTTAAAAATACATAAAAAATCTCTGCGTCTCAATCATATAAACAAATGACTGAATTTGGTTCGAAATAAGCGGACATTCTGCCTGAGAGAATTAACATGAAATAGAAATCAATGTTCGAACTCGTAGCTCTAAATGTCGATGGATTGGTTAGAGTTCAAAGTATAAAGAACCCCATTGAATACAGATATTTTCAGACCTTTGCTCAATCACGAATATTTTGGTAAGTAAATGAATTCAATTTTTCGGCGGCTCAGTGTAATAGTTTTTTAAGCATAAGCTTGATGTCATTTTTGCCTTTTAAATGCTATAAACTGTTCTGATGACTTCATTTGAATATATCTGTTAAAAATTGTTGATATATATGTATTGTATCAAGTCGCGAACCCTGTGAGGAGAAAGAAAATGGTGAAGAAGATGGTTCTCAATTTGAATTTTATCGAAAATTTGTTTTATTTTTATTTTTATTTTTATGTTGAAATTTGAAAAGAACATTAACTTATGACAATTGCTGGAGACGTAAAAATAAACCTTGATCTAATTAATATACGTTATTGTTAAATAAAAACGTAAATGTTTATCTTATAAAAGAGAGTTTTTCTAAAACTTATTTTGCTTGAATGAAAAAAAAGGAAATTCCAAATTCACTTATAATTATTTCATAAGAATGAAAGTTAATGGCCTGCAATCATGTTATCAAAAGAAAATTGAACGTTTTTTTTTTTGGCTTTTTTGTTCTTACATTAGTTACAAATGGTTGTGGTTGAAAAATATTTTTAATTTATTTCAAAATTTTAATTCATAGTTTGGTACATTCATCTTATTTTATAAATGACTGAAATACAAACGTGAAACTAAGCCCATTTTTTCACCATATGCCATGTTTGGAGTGTGAAATTTAACGGTAAAATTTTCGTTTACGTTTATTTCCGAATTTTCTGACTCATAATAATAATACTCGCTAAACGATCCGTCATAAGTAATTTGGTACATTTTCCGTGGACTAATCAATAGAGGTGGGTTCAACAAAATTTTCGATTCAGTTGCTTTGACATAACTTATTGGACCATTAAAAAGAGTGGTTTTTCCAACACTTAATTCAAAAGATATATCGCTGTGTTCGACAATTTTTATGTTCATTGTGACGCGTGGTGGTTCATTACTGCCATTGCTCTGTCGCTGTAAGCGATGAAAATAGACTTCACCCAAAAGCACTGGACAATTCGTTGAAAAATACGTGTAGTCATTGTTATTGAGCCAATTACTTTTAGCACTCATCGTATTTTCTAATTTACAAATCATTTGGTCATTTAAATGCCATTTGAAGGCCGGTTTCGATCGTGACTCGCGCTTAAATCTATTTGATACATGATCTTTGGTTGTCGTCGTGAATAGAAGATCAGCCAATTCACCGTCCGAAAACATTCCCGTGTACAGCTTTGCATGTACTGTGAATTCGTCCACCTTCATCGCACCAAATCGTATCAATTCAAAACATTCACCCAATGCTGATTTCAAATTTTGCGCGTTGCTATCATCCATTCCGTTTTGATTGCAATAGTTTTTGGCCCATGATAAACATGCATCAAACACATCCGATTCGTTGCAATTTAAAGAATCCAATTGCAAAATTTGTTGCAAGATGACTGGATTGCATTGATGAAATGAATTGGATTTGAAAATATCCAATGGAAATGCACTGATAACTTTTACACAATATTCTTTTAGCTTATCGTTGTGAAGAAAATAAGCCAATTGATAGCCCCAACAAATATCGTCCAACGAAAGGTTATTCACGAGAAGCATAGCACATTCGCTAACATGATTCTTTATATCGTAATAATCGGCCAATCGGATTACATCTTCAATACTTTCCATCGGCACAGTTACGTTTTTCAAATAAAAGAATTGTAGAAATGCCTTGAACGTTTTGCCATTTGTGTCCACAATTTTAACGTCGCCTTTTTCTTTGATTGCACCGTAAAACATGGCACGGAAAACTGGGCTCAGCACAGCCAAAATCGATTTATTTGCGGGCACTTTTTGAGATTCACCTTCAAACACGAAATTTACGTCAGCCAAATTTGCATCGAGGTATAACAGCCGGGCACCTCCTTCGGCAGCAGCAATATTCAACATACTGGGCACTGTACTTTCCATTTTTTGTTAGTTTTTGTTTTGTTTTGTTTGCGTTTTTGGCTGTTCAATGAGTCTGTTCTAGATATTTTTCTTCAAATGTCAGATTATTCTAAGCGTTTTTTGTGTTACTTTGAATAAGTTTTTCTTCGGAATGTTTGATTTCATTTTCATTTTATTCATTTCCTTCTGCAGCGTCTGCATTTTACTGTCAAACAATAATTCGTGAAAATGCCCCATTCAAGAAGATTATCTATTTCTTAAAGTCTCTACTAGACTGTGTTTCAAGTATTTAGGTGATTCTGGCCTCAATTTATTCACTCAACTCAGCTGAGTCAGCTGCCAACTTCATTTTTCTCCTATCCTTTTATTCTGAATTTTTCGAATGAATTGCAATTACTATTGAAATCACATGATCGGTCGCCTAGGAAATACCACCTTAAGTTTATTTCAAAGCCGAATTCAGTCGATTTAGCCAATATAATCGACACTTGATCCAAAATCCATTTTAGAAAAGGCAAAATTGTATGGAAACTGCAAAATTTTTCATATTATTTTCTTTATTTGTATAAAATATTTAACATTTTTGTTCTCGTTCCCCAATTCCGTTGCATCATAATATAATTCGATTTGTGTAATTCCAATAAAACACAGAAAAATCCTTTTGAAATATGCCATTTGTTCCTGTTACAACAAAATCAATATTCATTTATTATTTTACATTTACTCGTCTCCGAAAAACACTTTTCTTTTAGCTTCCAAACAACTGTTACATTTTATGCATCTATTGTTGTTTGAGAAGCAAAGAATCTCGCCGAGATAGTCACGAATCAACACATACATGCACAAAATGTAACAAAAGATCGTCCACTCAACACAACTTTATCCCATCATTTTTGGAGATAACAAAGACAATTGGGTAAGAATACGCCTGGAATGTACAAATGTACGGTGGCCTCGAATGAATCCTGTTCTTTATTTCTCTTTAATTTAACCCTGTTCTTCATTTCTCTTCAAAGAAAATTCCATTTGGTCTTTCAATTTCTATGACAGTCTTTGGATTTATTTATGGAAAATCATTCTTAATTCACTAATTCTAAATCGATTGTTTCCCAATTAAAATTGCTCATTATTATTGGATGTTATCAGACACCAATACTAGTGCCAAAATAGTGCTTTTTCCTTATTATTACTAGCCAGAAAAGTGAGATAGAATTTCAATATCTAACAAAATGATGTCCCCATGTGTGTGATTCGACGCGTTTAATTTCGACCAATTTCGAGTTCGTTTTAATCATATCCCATTTTACGGCGAGGCAAATGTTTTCTTCAATAAAAATGGTCACTTTACAAGCTCCACTCAATTTTTTTCGTTCCTTGTGTAACGTTGTATCACTACAGATGCACGCCTTGAACTGAGCTGGGTCCCTCATGAAATTATGAATTTTTATCTCTTTCAAATGTTTCGAATAACGTACAAACGGAATGATATCCTCTAGAGATGCCTTCCAAAAGCCGATCTTTTCGAGTTTAACCAGACATGTTGCCATTGTTTTCATGTCAATCAAATTGGAAACCCACAGCATATTCAACTCCCTCAGGTTGACCAACGATGAAAAGTCATAGTTAACACTATCGACACCGACATTTACCTTTTCAAGGTCTCTCAATGTGACCATTGCGTACACCGTTTCCTGCTTCGAAAACACTCCGGACAAATGCAGCGCTTTATAACTGCCACGTTCATGAAGTCGATTAAGAAATTCAAACATTGTTTCAGTGTTTGGATCAACTGCACTGTCAATTTCAACGATTAACTCGTCCAATTTGATGTCAGCATTACTAATTAAATCCATATTTGCCCAAAGCGTAGACTTATTCATCGCAAAACGTCGAATGTTTGGATTTTTTTGGAAAAACTGCTGCAATTCATCAATTTGACACGGTTTTTGAAGACTCAATTCCAAATACTCAAGCAATGGGTATTTATTTTCCAGCCATACGTGATTGGTGTTTTTAAAAATTTGTACATTTTTTAACCGCAATCGTCTTAAGTTCACGCATAACTTGAGGAAATTTTCATAAAACGTTGACTCAATTTTACAGTTGATCAAGTCGAAGATTTCGATTTGCTTGAGGATTTGTTCGGTCCATTTGATTTGAGTGCCCGGCAAATGAGCACTGTCCAATCGAATTTGCTTCAATGACTTTGCCGATTTGGTGCGATCAGCGAGGAATTTCTCTAAATCACGACCCCAAATTGAAATTCTTCGTGCGTATCGTCCAATTCCATTCAGCTCACGACCATACACTTGTGAACCATCACAATTGTAACTGATTAAAGTTGCCGGATAGTTTTTTACGAAATATGCACCGGTCAACCGTTGTAATTGTTTGCACGTTTGACCCATAGCATGCAGATCCACCAACGATAACCATTGGAATATTTTTATGAAACATGCATCCGTTAGTTTGAATATCGGCGGCGGAGATTCAGCTCTTGAGAAATTGAATGTATATCGATAGGGCACTTTATGCGCTACACGTCGTCGTAGAAAATTCATTGCATCCAGTAAACACATTAATACCGTTTGATGGGAACTTTGAATCTGATTTAACTCACACAAATTGCATGTGGAATGAAAATCCACAGAAAATTGAGTATTTGGCTCTGATCAAAGCCTGATTCTTTCGTTTTTCAGTCCAGTTCTTCTTTTTTCTTATTTTAATTTCTTTCTTGTTTGTTTGTTCTCTCTTATTTGTCTTCTTTTCTTCGTTCTTCTTCTTTTTCCAACAAATTTCTCTCCTTTTTTAGCATATGTTTCTTCTTCTCTCCCACAAACTTCAATCTCTTTTCATTTTCTCCTTATTTTCTTTGAATTTGTCCGTTTTTATTCGTCAAAAACACAATTTTTTTTTGTTCAAGTCATCAGAAATGTCACTTGTTCACAGAAATAAAACTACTTGAAAATGAGAGACTATTTCTGCAAATTTAGCGTTTTTTTTTTACTTATATTCACTTCAACGGTACTAGCAATTGTTAGTAAAAACAAGTAGTTGTTTAAATAGTCTTGAGTGAAGACAAGAGCAGCGTTTTTCTGTGAATGACATTCCCAAAACAAAATTACTTTTATTAAATACGTTGGCAGTGACTAATTTATCACGATTGTTCTTATGAGCGTTCATTCTCTGATTGACGCATTATAGTGAGCAAGAAAAATTGTGATAATTTGGTGACAGTCATACAACTGATTTACATATTGATATGGATTTTGTACAAAAAAAGGCCCAAAGTCGTCATTTTTATATGGTAGTCATTCCAAATACAAGGTCTAACCATCAAAAAAAGTTTTTTGATATTATTTAACTTCTTTCTCATTCACGGAATCCAGCAACGAGATTTTCTTTGGCCCAAAAGGAACGTTTTACTATTACAAGAAAAGAACGGCACAATTTTGCACAAACTGTTATGTTTATTATTTTTCAATCCACTGAGAAGAAAAGAATAAAGAATCAAATCAAAATTGTGGCTAAAAAAGGCTGAAATAACAGTTAATAATAATGAAACGAAGTTTCTATTCTCTCTGAACAGCAATCTATATTCACTGTTACTTTCATTTCAGAAGGAGTCATTCTTCAGCAGTTTCACATCGAAACGAAACCAACTCAATTGTTCATTGTTCTTCATTTTGAGAAAAAAATATATAAATTTCATACAGCTGTGAACAATCTTCTGAGCAATCAAAATGAGTTGAGATTTGCTGCAAGGCTCCGCTGAGTGCAGATAAGTATAAATACGGATCAATGTTTATAAAACAATGTTCTGGTCATTCAATGCGTCATTGTATATATCATATAATAAAATTGTATCAAAATTCACCGACACAAGCATGTAAGTGTGCAATCTCGATACTAACAACCGACCAGTATAGTGCGATTGTCGCTAACAATATTTTCAGAACAACCGCTTGTGCTCCGTTTTGCTCTAAACTCAAAAGCAGAAAGCAATGAACTGATCGAAAATGCCGTTTCTTTTACTTATTTCGGACGTTCGATCCGCATTTTTCAACAACATTCTCAAAAAAATTCAATTTTTGTTTCTTCTCTGAATATTTTCTTCCTTAGTCTAAATTCCGAGTCGGAATTTCCGACGAATTCTTTTGAACTCTATTCCAATTCTCCTCATGAAGCGTACGGGCTTGTGAAAATTCATTGCGAATATAAAAACATGACATTTCAGTGTATGTCACAGTTTCACTTAGTAGCTACACAAATTCATCGAATCAACGACGCACAGTCGCACACACTTGCGGCATAAACAAAACAGCACACACAATTACGGTGGACAAACACAAGAACGAACTGTTTGCCGGCATCCGCTTGACTCAATAACAAAAACAAACGCACACAAACCAATCCGAGATACGATTTACAGTTTGACTTGAGAACGCACAGTTCCACACTTATTGTTTACACTCAGTTCGACGCTTTGTGTGTGTATTGGGTTTCTGTGTTAGAGAATCTCGCATATACAGCTGCAAACATCATAACATTGATTGTGCGCGCCACTTTGTCTGCGACTTTTATTGAGAAAAGTTGACAAAAATTTGTTTGGAGCAATTTTTATTATCAAGTGTTACATCAACACATTAATTTCGCGATTTTTATATTTAAAAGTTGTGTTTTTTTACATTCGAGGTTGTTTTTTGTCGTATTTTTTGGTGAAATTTGTTAATATTTGTTGCAAAAGTGATTTTTTTTCTTAACTTCTTACAATTTTGCTGAACAATTTGCATTTTGGTAAATCGACGGGATTCGTGCAGAAATTGAGATTGAACCATCTGTTGTACAGTAAAAATGAGGTAAGTGATTGGTTTATTGCGAATTTGTTTGAAAATTCTTGTCGCACATTGAAAAAGTTAGCATTTCAACCAAAAGTTCGTCTCAAAATCGAAAACGTTGAAAAATTCCACATAAAAATCACTTCAAAACTTTCAAAATTATTTCTCAATAGATCACATCAAAAATGTTGATTTTCTACTGCAATTCATGTTTGTGCAAACTGTTGGCGCCTGGTGATGAACAGTCACCGAACAGCTCTAAAGGTTATTTGGCAAATTGCGGACATATCTTCTGCACAAAGTGTGCACCAAAGTCGAAGCAAAAATGTAGCCAGTGTCGTCGACCAACTCACAAGTTCACGGCAATTGACAAAAATATGGCACCAAAAACACGAATGTGCTTTGAGCCACTCGAAAACTCACTCAAACAAGTCTGCACTGCCATCAAATTCCAAGAACATCAGATGGATGTCCATTACAAACAGATGAGCAAGGAACATTCGAAATTGAAGGGAATAGGACGCGAGCTCAAGCAAAATGTCATGGAAATGAATGACAAAAACAAGGCGATGGAAGAAGAAATCAAGAAGATGCTTGTCATTCATCAAAAGGTGAAAGAAGCCAAGTAAGTACAGATCATGTTTTGAGAGATACAAAAGTGTATTTCAAAGGAAATTGGTGAAGTTTTTCTTGATTTTAAGTCGAAATTTTTGACAAGCAAATTATTCAGAGATTTTCAAGTGCCGGCATCCGCTTGACTCAATAACAAAAACAAACAAACGCACACAAACAAATCCGAGATAAGATTTACAGTTTGACTTGAGAACGTACTGTTCCACACTTATCGTTTACACACTGTTTGACGCTTCGTGTGTGAAGAGACTCTCAAAATATTCAGAGATTTTCATGTGACTTTGATTTAGTTGTCGAATACAACTTATAAGCTGTGTGAGAAAGAGAGAGAAAGCTCCAGTGCTGCGTTTCCAAAGTCGAAACAGTTTTAGCAATGAGCCTCATTGAAATTTCCAAGAGAAAAGCCAATGAAAATGATCCATTTTCCGTTATCATTTTCAGGAACCGTCAAAGTCAAGATCAACAACCAGCGAAACGTTTCAAACGCTCACCGTCACAAATATTAGCGCAAAAGTCACCGGTAAAACGAAAATTCATTATGCGACCAAGCCAATACAAAGACGCCCGACCACTTTCACCGCGACGACTGCGTGTTGCCAGTTTCACTGAGACGATACTTTTCAACCCAGCCGAAAATGACCAGCCAACCATTAACCCGACGACCAACCATGTCCAACCAACGTGCAAATCCGATGTTTCCACGACGTGAACGCGACTCCGGCTTCAGTTCGACTTCTCATTAGAATCGATAATTTCATTTTTGCTGTGTGAAATGATGTCATATCAATTCATAGAACCCTTTTGGTTCAATCTTCGGTTTTAAGTTCATTTTCACATAAGATTTTTTTGATAAGAAAAAAAAAACGATCCGAAAAATTTACTAATAATCACGAGAGAAAAGAAAACGTTAACAATATGAAAAATTGATGCCAAAACTGTCCAATGGATAGGGAATAATGTCCATTGATGGTCTAAAATCCATTTGAAAGAGAAACAAAATAAATTTTCAATAAAAACTAGCTCAAAATATGGATTTTATTTTCAATCACAAGCTAATTTGTGATCGAGTTTAAATTTGGAGGCGAAAAAACTCACCAAACTTCACCACAGTCGATGGTATTCACCACACGATAGAAAGTGGTGAAATTCGATACGTCAAGCAAACCATCTGTCAAAGTGAACGGCAATTTGCACGTGTGTCATCACATCGAATATTGTTGCTTCATTCACGGAAAACGGAATTAAAACGACGTAATTGTAGGTAAAAAGGGACAAAAAATACAATTAAAAAATGGGTCGCCAAAAATTGGGTAAGTTTTAATTCCAAACACTGTTCTTCAAACCATTCCGCATCATGTAATTGTAAAAATTTCGATGATTTTCTAGGCATTGGATTGAGTAAGGAGGAGCGAATGTTGATGGTAATCGGTGAGATAATCCAAGAGTTAATTCAAGCCCATGACAAACAGAAAGATGTTGATTTAAATCGAATGAAATCGCGAATTTCATCAAAATATGGTTTAGACACATCGCCCCGATTGGTCGATATCATAGCGGCAGTGCCAACAGAAGCAAAACACTTTTTGTTACCGAAATTGCGTGCCAAGCCAATCCGAACGGCAAGTGGTATTGCAGTGGTAGCGGTTATGTGCAAGCCGCATCGTTGTCCGCACATCAATATGACGGGAAACATTTGTGTTTATTGCCCTGGCGGACCAGACAGTGATTTCGAATATTCCACACAAAGTTACACGGGCTATGAACCGACAAGTATGCGAGCCATTCGTGCTCGGTACCATCCATTCTTACAAACCAGACATCGCGTTGAACAATTGCAACAGCTCGGTCACTCAGTAGATAAAGTGGAGTTCATTGTGATGGGCGGAACATTCATGTGTTTGCCCGAGGAATACCGAGACTATTTCATTCGCAACTTGCACGATGCACTGTCTGGCCACTCTAGCTCAAGCGTCGCTGAGGCTGTAAAATATTCGGAAAAGTCACGAACCAAGTGCATTGGCATCACAATCGAAACAAGACCAGATTATTGCTTGAAACGACACATTTCGGATATGCTGTCGTATGGATGCACCCGGCTGGAGGTTGGCGTTCAGTCAGTTTATGAAGATGTTGCACGAGATACAAATCGTGGCCACACCGTTCGTGCCGTATGCGAAAGTTTTCACTTTTCAAAAGATGCCGGTTTCAAAATCGTTGCTCACATGATGCCAGATCTACCGAATGTTGACTTTGAACGGGACATTGAACAGTTTATTGTGAGTTTTTTTTTTTTTGTTAACGGGTTAGAGTTTGGATATTTACATCAATTGAAAATCTATTTTATTGCAAATGAATGTCTATTTTTCCACAGGAATTTTTTGAAAATCCAGCATTTCGTGCTGATGGCTTGAAAATCTACCCAACACTCGTAATCCGAGGCACCGGATTGTATGAACTATGGAAGACTGGTCGTTACAAGAGCTACCCACCGTCACAGTTGATTGATTTGGTAGCAAAAATTTTGGCTTTAGTACCTCCATGGACCAGAGTATACCGAGTACAACGTGATATTCCCATGCCATTGGTCAGTTCAGGCGTTGAACACGGCAATTTAAGAGAATTGGCTCTGGCTCGCATGAAAGACTTGGGCACTGATTGTCGTGATGTTCGAACACGTAAGTGATTTTTAGTGGGATTTCATTTAGAATTTTTTCCGTTGACTTTTGTCATTTTTTTTCCTTCAAATTAAATTCGCATCGTTGAAATTTTATTTTTTTATTTTAATTGATCGCTATGTTTCTGTTGTTCGTTCTATTTTTTATTCATAAAATTTTGTTCAATTGAAATATATTTCATATTTTCTGAATTTTCCAATTTTTCCGAAATCATTTTTTTTCCTTAATGAAATTTAAATTTAAATTTTGATTTCAAACCAAATTCAATTTTCAACAATTTTTTTTAGTAATTCAAAAAGAATAAAAAAAAATTAAATTAATTTAATTTAATTGAAAATTGCAGGTGAAGTCGGAATTGTCGAAATCCATAGCAAAGTTCGGCCATATGAAATTGAATTAATTCGACGAGATTACGTAGGAAATGGTGGTTGGGAAACGTTTTTGTCCTATGAAGACCCTGAACAAGACATTTTGGTTGGATTGTTGCGATTGCGAAAGTGTTCTTCCGAATCGTTCAGACCTGAATTAAAAGGCCGATGCTCGATTGTTCGAGAGTTGCACGTTTATGGATCAGTTGTGCCCGTTAATGCCAGAGATCCGACAAAGTTCCAACATCAGGTAGCTCAACAGTTCAGAAATATTGATTCATCATAACGAATAGACAGTGTCCATTTTGGACACACTTCATTAAAACACAGACCAAGTACTCGGTTCATCGTTCGTTATGAAGAACATAAATTACTTTTTTTTTAAGTATTCTGAAATATTATTATTAACTCATCGTTCGAAAAACATCAAAAATTATCCTATTTGTTCTTGTCCACATTATCCCTATCAAAAACCGTATTCAATTTCCAAAATCAATTCATTGCCAATAAAAATGTGACTATTTCCAGGGATTCGGCATGCTGTTGATGGAAGAAGCAGAGCGAATTTCGCGAGAGGAACATGGAAGCACAAAATTGGCCGTCATTTCTGGTGTTGGCACACGAAATTACTATCGTAAAATGGGCTATGAACTCGATGGTCCTTACATGTCAAAATCAATCTAAATTTCAATGAAAAAAAAAAACAATTCGAATCAAAAGGAAATGAATTTCGTTGGAATTGTGTCCTTTGCAATTGCTTTATTCACGTTTTTACAATGTGTTTGGCTTAACTATCTACAAATTTAGATACAAAATATGAATATTTATAAATAAAAATCTTTTTCCTACATTTTTGTTATTCTTGTCAAATAAATGTCCGTAACATAAAAAATGGTGAGATATTCGACTTGAATACATCGTTTTTTTGTTGTTGTCGTTAACAAAGAATAATGTTGCTAGTGTGATTTCCTATACAATTTTTTGTGATGAACCGAAAACAATGTAGACAAACCATCCGACGGTATTGATGAGCGCTGCGGTACTGAACACGGCCGACCAACTTTGCGTCAACTCCAGAATATGACCAGCCAAATAAACACCGAGGAAACCTATTGAAATAAAAAGAAAATTTTGTTTTTAATTTTTTCAAAAATTATTTCATTTTTTACGGTTTTTTTCTCAAAAAAGGAATAAACTTGTAAATCAAATAATTTGATTAAAAGAAAAATGAGGTGAAAAATGTCATGAAAATGGAAAAAATAAGAGCCATCGAAATTCGGATTTGTAGAGAAATGATTTGTTTCAGGTAGGAAAGAAAATTTGTCAAAGAAAAATTAAATTTTTTCATTTTAACATTAAAATCTCCTGAATTGGAATTTTGTTCAAACGAGAAGTAAGATGAATAGGGTAGACCGAATTTTGAATTAGAAATTAATTTTCGCAATTGTGTCGAAAATAAACGTATTTACCTGGAATTGCGCCGAACGTGTTCATCAATCTATGGAAAAACCACACAAAAAAAACAATAAATTTTACATAATGCCAATGTAATGCAAATATGATAAAGAATATCGAATTCCATACCCAAATACACTGCCCGAATGGGCTGGTGCAATATCTTGTGGTGTCACAATCACAGCACTATTATGAAAACCCGTTCCGCCTGTAAAATAAACCAATTCAAATTGTTGAATCAAAGCGTATAAATAAACCGATTGTAAATGAGCCGAAACAGCAATAACGACAACTTTAGGTAAACCACGTACCGATCACGATAGTCATGCATGTCAGTGCAGTGTGAAAATTCTTCGTTCGGCACATTACAAGGAGAGCAATATTTTGGCCCATGAAACAGCAACTTTGTACAATTTTCCGCACTCTCGTGACTGGCCAATCGCGCGCAATCAATTTATCGGTTATGTATTTGCCTAGGAATGTGCATGGTGGTAGCGCTAACCAAGGTACCATATTCACGACCCAACCCTGTAATAAAAAAAAATTGATAATTAAATGGTTTAGTCTGAAGAATGTTTGATCGATGCTCTAAAAAGGATATTTTAAGCCAGGATAGGTTGCATGCTACATTGATTTTTTTTACAAACATTATGTTTTTTCTTCTCAATTGGTTGTTGAAGAAAAACAACTCAGGATTCAAAAAATCGTCTTATGAATCACGAAAAAAGATTTTCACCTTTGCATGTGGGAATCCTTCGTGAAAATACGTTGGTAGCCACGATAGAAGTACAAAGAAGCAGTTGTTTTGACAAGCGTGAGCAATGACCATTGCCCAAAAAGCAGCTCTTCGAAACAGCAGTAGCCAGGGCACCGAGTCAATGGCTCCGACATTTGTTGTGCACAGACGATTCGGCATGGACAGATTTATTATTCGATTTCGATCAGATGACATTGTATAAAATCTCATAATGAGCGCCCATAAAATACCTATGGAAAACCACATAAAAGAGAATAGTAAATTGGCCACCAGAGACATTTTATGCAAAATTGGTAAAGAATAACCATATAAATACCTAAAAACCCGATAATCCGAAAGGCCATTTGCCAACCAAAATAGTCTAAAATGAATGACCCAAGGATTCCGGTCAAAAGTGTTCCAAGTGCTGAACCAGATGTTAGCATGCTGAAAAAACTAGAACGCTCACTCGAACTTAAATACTGAAAATGAGAAAGAAAATCGATTAGATCATGATATTTGAAACGTGAAGGGGATTTTTTTTTTCTAAAAAAAACGTTCTAAAAAGAGAAAAAATGTTTAAATACAATATTTTTTTCCCTATAACAATTCTATTGACTAGATCGAGAGGCCAAGTTCATCTGACTATGTTATGAAAGAGAAGAGTATGTTTTTTTCGACTCAAAAAGTGTTAAAGGCGAGTATGTTCATTTTTGGCGGGTCCTCGCGGTTTTCCACGGTTTCCGCGGAATTGCTAAGAGATAACAACTTGGTGTCTTCGGCAAAGTTGTAGCACTTGAGGTCTTCTATAACATTGCTGAAGTCAAATATCTCTTATCACTTATCAGTTCCGCGAAAAGCGCGAAAAATGATAAGAAAGTTCTATATAAAATTTGCTTTTTCATGTGCGCGATTTGCGCGCAACTGATAAGAGATAAGAGATAGATGTCTTCAGCAATGTTATAGGAAACCCCGAGTACTACAACTTTGCCGAAGACACCATGTTGTTATCTCTTATCAGTTCCGCGAAAACCGTGAAAAACCGCGGAGGCTAGACGGGATGCTAACATACTTCCTTTTAACGCAGATAGAATCAACAGAAATCATACTCTCCTCTTTAAAAATATATTAGAATTTTTTCACATACTCTCCTCTCGATCTAGTCAATAGAATTTAGTTTTTCATTCAAAATAGAAAAAAAAATTTGATTCAATCAAGTTTTTCATTCCTAACAAAAAAAAATTTATTTCTCTCTTGTCAAAACCCATAGCTCTGGGTTATTTTCTATAGAAAATAGCAACTACACTAGACTAAACAGACGAGGCCTTACCTGACTAGTGATGCTAATCATGCTTGGAAAATGAACGCCTTGAAAAGCGCCATTCAATATCCTAATGGACACTATAAACGGAATGGTGTAATACGATTTCTGAGGTGTTAGTACTAGCAGCTCTGGCATCCAAAATGTAATTAACGACCAACCGATTGCCGATACAAATATCACACGTTGACCACCCATACGATCGCTGAAATATCCGCCTAATACCTGAAATATTGCCAAGAAATTAACGGAAATTAGTTTTTTTTAACAAAATTTAGTTGAAATAAATTTCCCTCCATCTGGAATTCATTTTTTTTAAACAACTGTTAGACCCAAAAAACTGGTTTTTTCTTTCAAATTTTGCACAAACTGATAATATTGAATGAGTTAAGAAGAAATTAATGAAAAATGATTCAAAGAAACAATTCTGAACTTAATCAATTAATCGTACCTGAGTGATGGTGTAGCCCCAAAAGAATGAGCTCAACACGGTGCCTGACTCGGTTTTGCTCCATCTGAACTCGTTGGCGACGGCAGGAAGCAGCAAAGGCATTGATGTTCGTGTCGCATACACCATGCATGTTCCCATCAACAATGTCATAAACCAGACCCGTTTTTCATGTCTGAAAATAAAATAAAAATCAGCATCAAAATGCAGACTTTTTTTCACTTCGTTGACGAAAATTGCCACGATTAAATAGATTTCAATTGCAGTTGTAGCTGTAGTTACCGCTGCAAATCTCACGGTGTTTTTTAAGAAACACATTTTCAATTGCAAACTTCACATTTTCATTGAAAAATTTCTCAATCAAAACGGTTTGACACGTCAAAATTGAACTTTTAGCTTGTTTCTTCACTCAAAACATACGTTTGTCTTCACGATTTTTTTTTGTCACGAAATGTGAAATTCTCACAACAACAAAAAAACGACCAAAATATCCATATTGTAGGGCTATCAACAAACCTTGTCCAAATGCTGATGTCATCGTTAGGGTCACGCAGCAAGGAATATTTCAGTTTTTCGTCCATATTGTGCCTGGAATGTGTGTGTGCGTTGTTTGTGTGTGATGTAGTTGAGAATTGAATTTCTAGGCCTTCTATTCACATTCACTGATGTCTTTCGGCATAGCTTCTTGTTATATCTTTGCTAATAATTATCTAATAAATATTTACTTTGTTGAACTAATTTAAATTCGTCAAATGGTATCGTGCCAATCGTTTGGCTACGTTTACATGTTGAAAAGATGAATATCAAGAATAAAATGCACAGAACAGCTTGTTGTTGAAACAAATTCAACTCCGCTAAGCAAACATATTGTAAGACAAGAGAAGAAAGAAAATGTGAAACACTGCGATCGAAATTCGTATAGAGCAGATGAAATTGAAGATTGTTTGAGCGGATAGCAGATGTTTTTTGTGCGATATTGTTTAATCTACTGGCGTTGCGTGTAGGCTGTATGTGTGTGATGCGTTTTTGACGATATATATTTTTTTTCATTGGCACACAACAAATATAAAAATGCCAACAAGTACTGATAAACAATTGACTGAGACTCGGTGTCTGTCACAACCAATCAACCAAACTCACCACGTCAACGAAATGTCAAATGCGTCAGCTGTGTACGTTGTGTGGTGGAATTCGGGATAAATCCAAGGTGAATTCGGACTAAATTGCATTTGAAATGAATTGCGCTGAAATTAAATGGATTAAAACAGTGCCTCTTTGATGATAAATAAAACCGAATTTTTGGCGCGTTTCTTGGCTATACTTCCAACATTGGCAATCTGATGAAACTGATCGCCTTCATATGAACTCAATTCATTCGGAACTGAATATTTCAGATAAAATGCCAAAGTCTTTTATTCTCTTATATTTTTGAAGCTATTTCTATCCAGTAAACATTCCGATATTTCAGAAATTCAGTCTTAGTTCCAGTTCTGAATGAGGATTAGAATGTTAAAAATGGAATTGAGTTAATTCTCAATACTGAATATTTGATGAAGGAATCCGGTACATAACGGTGATTACATTGCAAACTTTAGTCCAGTTAATTCAACAAAGTCGAATGAATTCAATTTCATCGATGTGACTAATGACGGTTCATTTGCTGGTGTCGCTCCAAATGAAAATTGATCGAAATGTTTGGATTACACCATCGAAGATGTGAAACTATTGGTTCAAAAAAATGGAGACACACCAGACAAATCACAAATCACAAATTCAACAGCAGTGTGATGAAATATACGAACAAATATCAACAATTTCTTGTTGATTTGGTGATATATGCCAGTACAATTTCGATATTCAAAGTGATAATCCGATGGAGCTATATGATATTTTGGTTCATTTATGAAGACATTTTATAGCCTCGGAGTGAAATAAAATAACAAAGTAACAATCAATAACAAGAGTCGTTTTATTTGCATTTCCAATCCATTGTCTTAGGGAACGGCATAGTTGAATATATTTCGACGGACTGTATTTACCCGATCAATTTATATCTTCAATGCTATGCGTTCCGCATTATGAAGCGACGCAACAACGGTTTTCTACACAACGCATAGCATTCAAAACTGACATCCCATGTGAACCATTTGAGGAGAAATTCAGTGCACAGCGGAGCTGTGCGGAGTTCGGCGGAGATGCCATACATACACTATATCTGAAGCAGTGCGCTCATGGCTACTTAGATATGTATTGAACAATAGAAATGTAAACACAGCAAAGAGCTAGGCAAAGAGTGCTGTTTTGCTCACACGTATAGCGTATGTACGGAATCTCCGCCGAACTCCGCACAGCTCCGCTGTAAACTGGATATCTCCGCAAATGGTTCATTTGGGATTTAACAGATAAATGTATGTTTCACCAATTGATGCCTTTGAATATGGAAAAATGTGTGCTCACAAATATCATGACGTCCGAGTCCTGGATAGAACTCATCCGCTCGTGCAAAACTTGTCTCTGGTGAATCTCCTACACCATTGAAACCGCATTTAATTGAGTATAATCAAGATCATTTACTACTCAATGCTCCGTTTGTTTTGGAACATTCGTCTGTCAAGATCTGAACAGATTTGGCGGTGCCATATCTGACGCAAGAATAACTAATGTTATTCCTGCAAATAATTCTAACATCGAAAATGATATTAGACATACTACTAGCGGGCAGGGGACGGATAAATGGAATCAACGTCAGATTTTATCAGCTGAATTGAGTAAAAAATATCGAGTACCGGAGGATAGAACAAGCACGAAGCACGAAGCACGTAGATTAATTCAACTTTGGTTTCAAATCTAGCACCTCAACAGTTTCTAGTATATTTTTTGTTGATTGCAATAATACCACAAGGACAAAGTTCAATAAAGTGTGAAAACGAGTATGGAATCAGTGAAAAATTGAATGGAACAGAGCAATTAAACTATTTAATATAAGAGCTTTTATGAGTGCAATGCATAAAATGCGTTATTCTACTGAGTGCAACATTGTATTTTATGGCCATCGGTCTATCTATAGAAAGTAAACATGAATTGTCAATTCAATTGAATTTAATCTACCTAAAGCTAAAGTAAAAACATGTTTGAAACCATTTACTTGAATAAATGAAATGACATAATCGGCAATTTCGACTTATTGATTTAGTTTTGACTGAAAAGCATGAAATTAGTGCATGACATGACGGAAAAAGAAAATTCTATTTTCATTCTAAAATTGGTTTTCGAATCGATTCCAAGTCGAATAAAGAGTTAAAAAAAAATATTCAATTCCGCAATGTTACTTTTTTTTCAAATGGGGCGACTTGGTCGATTTCTTCATTCATTGTATACGTTTTTTCAAGAATTTTGTGAGAATAGCAACATTCATGGCGTTCGATATTTCACCGAACGAAGACTACATTGGAGCGAAAGGTTCATTCTAAAGAGATTTCAATTAAAAGCTTTTAAATTCATTTCGAAACCATTTGATTAGATGTTGGTGGCTAATCTCTTGTGGCATCTCGCTTTGGCTATGCAGCTCAATGACACGTAACATTTGGATGCAATGGCAAAATAATCCGGTTATCATGAAAACCACTGAGAATATGATGCCACTTTCGGCTGTTCCATTTCCTCAAGTGACCATCTGTCCTATTATCAAGAACATGAAAACCAAATTTAATTTGGCTTCCGCACTCAGCTCATCGTCCAACTTATCAGTTATCGAGTAAGATGACTGATTCCCTTCTAACCACTTAACTCTATCAAATCTAACCAATCCCTGAATCCCCAGACAAAAGTATGATTTTTTTTTGTGTGTATTTGAAATTTTCCAGCAAAATGCGATTGAACGCCTTGGCTCATGTATGCCCAAATTTGAATTCGATTCAAAGCCGAGAAAAATATACCAATGAATCGATTTTTGATATAATCGAAGACATTGCTCCCGAAATTTCAGACTCATTTTCAATATGTTATCCAGCATTTAAGGATATTCCTTGTGAAAAAGCCTTTGCACCCGTTTTAATGGAAGAGGGTCTATGTTTCGCCTATAATGCTCTGAACTCACACGAAACATTCACAAATGAGTAAGATATAAAAAATAGTTTTTATTACACCAATAAAATGACAAATTGATGTCCTAGGCGATTTAAATGATGAATTTAATGTTGAATATGATTTTCAAGGATGTCATCAAGATTAATGATTGTGAAGAACAATACGAATGTGTCAAATTGGAGCTTGGAAAATGGATACGGTGACCAATGGAGCAGTTCGGAATACCCAATTCGCAGAAATTATTCTGGAATGGGCATTGCTTTGACCATTTACTTCATGGTAAAACTTCGTGACTTCGAATATAATTGCCGAGGAGCTGATAATGGTTTCGATGTGATTCTAAGTATGCCCGGTGACACACCGAAAATGTCACGAAATTCCTTTCGTCATCCTATTTTAGAAGGCACTGTCATTACGGTCACACCCACATTGACTACCACTTCAGACGGACTACATAGCCACGAACCAAGTCAAAGGCAATGTTTTTATCAAACCGAACGTCGATTACGATTCTACAAAATTTACACAAAACCTAATTGTGAAGCCGAATGTCTGGCAAATTTCACGAAAATCGAATGTGGATGCGTTAGATTTTCTATGCCAAGTACGTATTTTCGCTTTGTAATGGATCAATGCGAATATTTTTTGAAGATCATCACACAATTTTCATTTCTTAGGAGACAATAAAACTAGAATATGCGCTGCAGGGAGTATAACCTGCTATAAATTGGCTGAATCAAAATTCTCGAATGATGCTAGAGTGAAAACTTTTCGCGATGAATGCAATTGCTTGCCGTCATGTTCATCAATCGAATACAATGTGAACATCGATCGAGTCGCGTATGATTATGAAATTTGGGATATATCCAGAGGCAATAAACCAAGACCGATGAACCAAATTAAGTAAAAAGAACTAAATATAGCATGAGTCAAAAAAACATATAGAAATTTATTATATTTGTTGTATATTAATCTACTTACTGCAGGAATGTTATATCAAAATTGTCCGTTTATTATCGAGACCCATATGTAAAGGCAGTAAAACGAGTAGAAATGTACACGATGATTGATTTCCTATCGTATTGTGGAGGGTTGCTCGGTTTATTTTTGGGCATGTCAGTGCTGAGCATCATTGAACTCATCTATTACTCTACACTTCGTTTGTTTTGGACCATTCACCAGTCGAGCTCATCCATAGATGTTGCAAATCAAAATGAAAGACGATCTACCAATTCGATTTTTCCTCGTATTGGACAAGTGGTTTGGTCGTTTGTCGAAAACGTTTGCATCAATAGCAATATTCTGGGTGTTCGGTACTTATGGACTCGATCGCTTCATTGGAGTGAAAGGTAATGAATATATAACCCATAACCATCTATGGTTACCTATGGAATTTTCGATTTTGATTTTAAATTCAAAACTATAACAAAGATCAAAACTTTGGAAGCGATTATGGGTTTTAATTTAATATAATTTGACAAACAGGGTATGGTGGTTGATTTCACTTAGTTTGTCACTTTGGCTATGCGGTTCAATGATTCGAGACATTTGGGTGTCATGGCGTGAAAATCCAGTTACCATGAGTACTATCGAAACAGGAGTGGCAAAAATTTCATCAATTCCATTTCCAACTGTAACCATTTGTCCGGATATTAAAAGTGTGAAACAAAAATTTAACATACGATCCGCAATTGAATCTGCTTCTGCATCAAATTTATCTGACACAGAGTATGAGATTTTATTTATTCGGTACATTTGTTCCGGTTTTTCCCTAATAAACTTTAAAAACTCATTTTAATAATTCATTTAGGAAAAGTCGATTGAACGCACTGGGTCATATTTGCCAGTGGACAAATTATAACATGAAAACTTATATGAAGGTAATTTTTTCATTCATTCATGATTATTTTTTAGAGCATTCATTTGATTTTTCTTATTTCTACATTTGATAGACTCTTTTATATGAAAATGAAACCATTTTCGATACATTCAAAGACATTGCGCTTGAGCTAGACGATGTAATGCTTTCATGTCGCTGGAAAAAGAAGAAGCACGACTGCTCCGAGTATTGGACACCCGTTTTCACCGAGTTAGGACTATGCTTTGCTTTCAATGCTATAAATTCCAGAGAGATATACACAGATAAGTAGGTGACCTACTACTGGGTGACCATCTACTAATCAATTTCTGGTCATCAATTTTCTCCTAATAAAATTTCTCAGTATGGCTTCTGGAATGATGATTGTCAATAGCAATCCGTCAGCATCGCAATGGAGCTTGGAAAATGGCTATGGCAAAGAAGCGGATTATCCGATGCGGGCTATTGATTCAGGTCGACAGGCTGGTCTTGACATTGAACTTATGTTAGATAAACGAAATCTAGAATATGATTGCCTTGATGTTGATCAAGGATTTAAAGTGATTACAAGTGTGCCCGGGGATGATTTGAAAGTTGCACGCAACAGTTTTCCAGTTTCATTGTTGGAAAATATTCTGATTTCAATCAAACCGAAAATGATTACCACTTCAGAGGAACTGCATAGCTACGCACCAAATCAAAGAAATTGCTTTTTTAATTCCGAACGACAATTGCGTTACTTCAGAACATACAGTAGTGCTAACTGCATAGCCGAATGTATAGCAAATGGAACGAATGAAAGATGTGGCTGTACGGGGTTTTCCATGCCAAGTACGAACGTAACACAAATCCATTTTTTTTTCGGACTACAAATTGGTTAAAATAGTAATGTAGAGATGTTAACAAAATACATGTTGATTATAGGGGACAACAATAGTTCGAAAATTTGTGGAATGGAGAATTCACGTTGCTATAGGATTACTGCTCGAAAATTCTCAATGAATAGCACCTTTGAAGGCTTAATACATAGCAAATGCAATTGTAAGCCGTTATGCATGTCGATCGAATATAATTTGGACATTGATCGAGTTAAGCTAAATATGGCCACAGCACGTAGCATCAATAAAGCCTATCCGCACGATGACAAGTAAGAAAAGCGATCATGAGCAAAAATTGAATCTATTTTATTCTAAGACATTTTGTCTTTTCTTTCACCGCTTATTGTTGTTGTTATCATTAAACGTTTGTTGTTGTTTTTTTCAATGCTTTAGCATTTTACGGACGAGATTATCAATTTTCTTCGGTGATGAACGAGTTGAGACATTGAAACGGGTGGAAACGTATACGTTAACAGATTTTCTGGCCATTTGTGGTGGACTACTTGGTTTATTTTTGGGCATTTCAGCGTTGAGTGTTATTGAGCTCATTTACTACTCTACGCTTCGTTTATATTGGTCCATTCGGCGTTCAAGACACGAAAGTGGAGCTGCAGTATCTCAATAGTTAATGTCATCACACTTCAAATAAATAGCTTTCGAAATTGAATTGAATCGTGAATTGGGCATCAAATTCTTTATTGCACCAAAAACTGTCAATAAAATCTGTGTCTCAACAAGTTTGGAATGGATTTATATCCACAGGATCTTAAATCAGGCGACATCACATGAATCTCGGTTTTGGGAATAACACCGATAAAACTGAAAACTACACAAAAATGTATCACTCATCAAGTCTAATATGTAGTAATGATTTTCTGCTATTCCGTTAAATTATGACAATCACAGCACGTTGATAAGTACCATACGTAGGAATCGTGTTGAATTTTGCACCATCAATAGCAAATCAATTGCTGAGCTGCTTTGATTTTGTCTATCAGCTGGTATTTTCAAGCGAATTATCCGTCAAAGTGCACCTTAAGTACTTGAAAATGTTGAAAAATCGACAATTTAAACCTAATACCAAACGTGAAATCGAATGTGTGATGCACGAAACACTCATACACTCCATAAAATTGTGTTCACCGGTTTTTTTTTCTATCGTTTTACAAAAACACATTGCAATCGATTTGTTTCCGCTCGACCCGTTGAAAATGAACGATGGACATAGAATATTCAATGAAGATTGCCATGAATTTTCTATCAAACCTATCGATTGGTCGTCGTATTTTTGTTCCAGGTTTCATTGGCAAACGTCGACTGGTGCATTCGTTGTACAGGATTTTCGCCGAAGACGGAAAATGTATTGAAAGCCAATTGTTGTCATAGTAATGCAAAGTGTTCAATTACACCTGATGAATAAATGATGATCGTAATTAGGTGGACGAGCACTATTTCAAAGCCGCATACAATTGCAATTGTAGACGGTCAGTCGACTTCAAATGTCCGATAAAAGTGGGGAAAAAAATGTTGTGTCAGTTTCACAAATGAGCTCAATGTGAATGCACATTTTCAAAGGATTAACAGAGTGAACAGAAAAAAATTGTGTCGATGGTTGCGGTGCCGAATGGAATGACTGGTGAGTGAGTTTGATCGGTTTAGAATGGAAGTTTTTTTTGCTATGAAGAAATATTCGAAAAAATCGGCACAAATATATTCAAAGGCAAATGAAACTTGAGTTTTGACGAAGGAATTTTTTCAATTCTTCTTGTAAACAAGAAAGCGTTTTCAATTTGAAACAATCGAATATTTCAAATTCCAGTTGATTGCCAGTCCAAAGCAGTTCAATCACCCATCGCAATTTCATCACGTGAATCGCGAATTCGCGATAATGTGAAGCCGTTGGAATTTCATGGCCATTGGCACAAAGACGGAGAAGCAGTCATCGAAAATACGGGCACTTCTGCAAAAGTAACATTTCAAGGTCGGAATGAACTGCCTTTTATTACTGGCGGAGCTCTTCAGCCAAATGAACGGTACATTTTTGAAGAGTTACACTTTCATTGGTCGGAAAGAGACGATGCCGGTTGCGAACATAAAATCAATGGGCAAACGTGAGTTTTTACGCAAATTTGTTTATATTCAATTTTTTTTCTTAGTAAAATCTGTAGAGCAATGACCAATCGTTCAATTTTTCTTCAATATTCTGACATGATTTATCGAACATTGGATCGAGTGTTGTTGTTTTTGCTAATGATAATGAATTTAACGTTGTTCAACTTCATTCAGACACATTGTCGGAAGTCGTATGAAATATAATATATTCACTGTTGGAAGTGTAAACAAAGAACATAAAAATAAGAAGAAAAGGAAGCTTCAAATAAAGCGCCTTTGTTTATACTTCCAAGTTATAAGAAGTCCGCCTCAAAAACATATGTTAGAAATTCGTGCATCCTTCTAGAAATAGGTCTCCAAATAGGAGGAGTTTACGGTCACTGCTAAGTTTATATAAAAATAGAACGTATATGCAGATTGCGTTCAAGATTCAAACCCAAATAAAAGGAAAATGCAATTTTGAGAAAAACAATGTAATTATCGTAAATCAAGAATGCAAAAATAAATGCAAACTGTAAACATAATCAATAGAACTAATCATTTGTACATTTGGCGGCTCCCAA